TTGTACTTCGACTAAAAACGGGAACAGATACGTCTACAGCGTATTGCAATAGTTCACCGAGCTTTGTCGTCCTTCGAGGAATGCGATATCTGACATCCCGCACAGGCACCCCAGTCCATAACGTAAAAGACCAATCTAAGGTGCACGGATCATGTTGATTTGCTTTGTTGGCTTGTAGCTCAGCGCAGATAAATCGGACGGGAAAACTGAAATGTGCCACATCAAGCTGAGGTCATGGGCTTTCTGGAGGAATCGCGCATCTGCAGTTTGAGTTCTTTGTAAAACGAGAATACTGTATTTTTAAGCAAAAGTAATGATAATGAGCGAACCAATCTAAGGTGCACCGTTTTAACTTGGCCTCAGTATTGTCTGTTGCATTTAAATTTTAGGATTAGGGTATAAATTGTGAGCAGGTTAAATGTAAATTTCACAGGTAATGCATTCATACAGTCAACATGGATCTTTTGGCATTTTCGATATTTCAACACACGAAAGATGACTCAAGGTATTCAACCTAGTCAACTGAACATGCAACGATGTTGAGGTATTAAACAACGACCTCCTCGTTCATTGACCTAGTTTGTCCACCAGGCAATGGCTTCAATCCAAGCGTGGCAGCAATGCCAGTCCATTTCAAGGCGACCTTCGACAATGTAAGTCTGTTTTCATTTTCGCGTCCTTTTCGCCCGCCCCGCTTGACACGCAGAGATGCTTTTAGTTTGGACGCAGCTTCGCGTTCTTCTTTCGTCTTGTCCAACTCGCTCAGCAAAGCCAAGGTAAGAATTCTACCTCCGACATCAACCGTCTTTCGATGGGTCTTTTTCCTCTTTGGCATAGCAGGCAAGGTCAACACGACTGCTCGTAGTTCATGGCGGCGTTCAATCCAGTTTGCTTCCAAGTACGATTTTGGGACACCACCCTTCTTAAACATATTGAACCGATTCATCATTTGAACCTTTGATAGTGGCCAGAGACCAGTAGCCCTGAACCCGGCAATGACATTGGCTGGGAGGATGCTGTCCACCCAAGCATTTGAAGCGATCCGCAGCGCCGTCGACTTCGAAATAGAATAGAGTTCACCCGTATCTATATCCTGAATATATAATATTAATTGAGGACAGATAACTGATTATAGTACCATTGTTCACTGTTTCCTCAAAAATTGCATTGCGAATGGCGGTCTTGTAGTGTCCAAAGACAGCAACATCCAAAGGTTGAAATAATCGCACGCATGAGTTGAGTGGCTTTGACCATGATGGCATTGCGGTCAGTTGGATGCCCATCTTGTTGCATGGCAACAATCCAGGCTACAAGGTCGCTTTCGCAACTGGACGGGAGCGCAGTCCTTGGTCCCGGGCGCATTGGAGTATGGTTGCGACCCGACTTGTTGGCGCGAACAGCTTTCATGATTGTGTTGCATGGAATGTGTGAGGCCGTAGCAACACGCTTGCCACAAGCACCGTTGACGACTAGGTTAACGGCACCCTCTAGTTGCTGTGGAGTGTACTGACGGCGACGTGGACGACAAGGTCGTTCGCCAGGTTCATTCATTGAGGCGCGAAACGTTGAGTGTTGTGACATGCATACATTGATAAGGAGGTTTTGCCGCTAAATTCGTAAGCTTATGATTGGGTACTTTTCTTGCACCATAGAATGGTCCGTGCACCTTAGATTGGTCTTTTACGTTAATGTTGCCTCTACCACTGACCAGCGTCGAGAACACTTTCTCGTCGCAACGGAGGTCACGCCTGTACGCGGAGTATCCATCCGATCCGTCCAATTTGTACTTCTCTTCGTCCGAAGAGACAAATTGACGCACAAAAATCCAGCTTCGCCATGTGCTTTGTAGCGATTGCACGACGCTCCTTCTTGTGATGCCGGGTATTCAATGAACTTGATCGACTTCAGCATGTTGAGCACAATGCGAGTAGGCACCTGCACCGTTAGTATCGTAGCACTTTGTGCTGCTGACAAGTTTCGGACGATTGCGTTGCGGTGTGCGACGTATGTCACGCTTCGTCAACCTGACGCGCTTTCCCGATCGCTTCTTCGTATCATACCAGTCTGGGGATATCAGTACGAACACACTAGTGACTCAGGTCATTTGAGTCGACGTTCAATCTCACCATTGGATATCTTCTCGCGCATCCAGGCCAAAATCTGGACCATTACGATACCAGTGAGGTTGGGACCCCTTGACACGATGCGCGGTTGACCAATTTTGTCATGATTTACTCCACGACGTTGCCTTGTAATTGGCGAATTTCCCATACCAATTTGTTTTCATTTTGAATGTGTTAATGGTATTTAGAAACTCTAAAACGTAGTGAGAATGCAGATATTTCCGATACCTCAACCGGGTGAATTCAACCATCTTCCTATATGTCGGCAAATTCAAGCACATAGGCTGCAATGCACTCTCGACATCGCTCTTGGAGGTATTAGTCTGTTCCCTTTTAAGTGGAAAAGCCAGTTCAAGCATGGGGTACAACCAGTGTGTTCTTCGGTGCATCCTGCAAAAATCAATATATGCACAACTTATACAATGTGAAAGGGATATGATGTCGTGATGGCTGGCCGTGTTGAAACCTACGGAATCCCAAGCTGCTAAGCCCGCATTTGGAAAAGTGAGTAAGGCCAACATCAAGGACTGACAACGAGAGGAGATATTCAAACATCTCCTCGACGTGTCATATGAGGGCCGTTTACCCATGGGGATAGTGTGTGCTATCGCTGATGAGTACTAGTACAAAGTTTCTCAATAGACAGTGTACATAATTTTGAAACATGGCCGCCAGCCCGATAGAGAAAAATACGACAGTGCTGTTAGTCGACGAAAGAGTAAATGTGGGCGATAGCTCATGTAGGCGGACCTTTTGGGGATTAAGGCAACGGACGAAACCGAACCAAGTTACGTGATCTTGCTGATGCCACAAGCGTTCCAAAGACTGCTCTGCTCAAACGACTCAAATCGGCGTATTTGAAGAAATACTTTGTCCATTGAAATCATTTTTAACACCATTTAACATGTGCTTCCGTAACAGATGGACTTCTAAGGCTCATACACTCGGATTTCCCTGTTACAAACATGGACAATGTGTCCACCTCTATAAAAGTGGTTCTTTCTCCAAGTAACAAGATACGGTGTAACTGGTGAATTCATCCGCCACGATCCGTGAAAAAGCACAATACATTAAAGGTATTCTACCTCGTTTTGCGGCAAAATAGATGTCAAACTAAAAAATAGATTGTTGTACCATGTGCGTGGCGAAAACTCGATAGGACTACAATAATCAATAGTGGTGGGACGGAAAAATTAGATGCAGGCCGAATACGGAGAAGAAGACTGCTGCGAGAACCAGCATCAATCGAGCAAAGGCACATTGATTGCAACTCCTGTCGCGGTTACAAGACCTATCTACAAGACGTATGCTTTTGGACAATGCCATACCAGCGATATAAAGAGCGCAGACCAAATGGTCAAAATCATTAAACTCCAGGAAGACAACGCCGGTCCATATTTGCCTGTCGACGATGTTGACGTTGTGTCCCCAGAGCATTCGAATGATTTCAGCATCGAAGTCGTGTGCCAGCCTGCCAAATCACCCGATTGCAATGTGCTAGACCTGGATTTCTTGCGTGATCTAAAAAGTCTTCAAGTGAAGTGCACCGCAAGAACAATCGACGACATCGTAAGGAATGTGCATGATGCGTGGGATGACGTACCCATACGACGATGCTTTCCAACTTTCGCAAGCTACAAGTCATAATGTTGGAGATTATGACCGCGGCAATCAATTCAAGATCCCTCACCTGATCTGATGAAAGCCAAACTGGAGCGTGTTGGCCGCTTGCCCGAAAACCCCGAGAGTGACCCTGCTATCGTTGTCGTTGTCCATGCCTTTCTAGAAGAACACGAAGACGACCTTGCAGTTGTTCAAAGTGAAATGACACGTGAAGAAGATGAAGTCGCGCTATGCTATGAAATGGAAGAGATGCACATTGGGTCGGAAGATCATTCCTGAGCCGAGTGTGATGTCTCCATCATGGAGTCGTTTGATGATCACGTCGCCTTTCAAAATTGAATATGAGTGCTTGATGATAATTTCTATTTTTGGAGAGGTTTTTCAGCTGCCTTCAAATTACTATTATTTTGCAACTGTGACATTTAATTTTCTTCGACGATAATTGTTAAATGCTGGGAGTTTGCAATCTTAAACGACGAGTTTTAGCCATGAAATGAAAGGAATGCAAATTATCGCCATTACAGACGAGAAGGAACAAATTCTGACAGATATTTTGTTTTAGTTTGGACATAATCTCATGCAATAGACCTCAACTCCTATCGAAACATAGAGAATATTAATTGTGAAAGCTTACGAGTTGCAAGATCAGTTGAGTGTCGTCATCATTTGCCCAATAAATCGAACTAGCTCTTCCACTTAACAGTGGTGGGCGGCATCGAGGGGACTTCAACAAAAACTATAAACTTTTGGAAAAAGTTCACAACGTGCATCCATTATCAAATTTTCCTTGACCTGAAACTTTATAGGAGCCACGGACATAAACTCGCAACCTTGTAAAATATTGTATGTCTCACAACGCCTCCAACAGTCACAAATAGAAGGAAATAGAAACATACGACTTCTCGTGAAGCACCTTGCTGGTAGATCAGATTGCTCTTCAGTTGGCCCGACGTCCAAAGAGTAAAGCGATAACTCATCGTTCTATGATAATTTTTCTTGAATTTTGACTTGGTGTATGCATTACTTCTCTCAATATTTGCTCAGTTTTTCACTGAGCGAGTCACACAAACTGACAAAAATCTACAATGCAGCGTTTTCGCTGCTGACGAACTACTGACCAATGTTACATGCTATCACGGGGGTTTTAGAGCATTTTGTCTACGGTATTTCTGATCTGTTTTGCCCGAAATTGGCGTTTATTGTTGTTCAAACAACGCACCAGAAATTTCTCTTGTCATGATCCAT